CGCTCTTGTGGTGAGTTTTAGGTAAACTCATCCATGAGGAAGGCTTGGCATGTAACAAGTCCTCTCTCTCCCTCGGCATTCCTACCACCAGTGCTCTGGACAGTAATGCCAGGCTAGCACCACAGGGTGGCAGTGTTGTGTCTGGCTACGCTGCCTTCTGGAGACAGAAGCTTCATCTCTCCAAATGCCTAGTGGGGCAAAGATGGAAGGTGGACCCATAAAAAGATGATAAAGTCTGGGGGCTCCAAGGAAAAAACACGCCCTCCCCGTCACATCAGAGATGAAAAACCACCTCATTCATTCATCGCTGCCACTTCTTATAGCTGTGTCTCCAAGCCCGGGTGGTCCCCAAGCCTCAGAAGAGCCTGCAGGGGCTGGGGGAGTTGGGCAGTCTGGCCCACCCCACACACCCTGGTGGAGAGTGCGGCCATTGGGCCTGCCAGTCTGATGGAGGAGGGTGGTCAGAAGCCACCACCATAGAGCAGGGCTTTCTGGGACTTCAATGCACATGCAGCCCACCTGGGGACCTCGCTGCACTGCAGGCTCTGATGCAGCGGGTCCAGGGCAGGGCCTGGGAGTCTGCATTCCTAACGTGTTCTCCAGTGATGCTCATGCGGCTGGCCCAGCCGCCACGATTTGAGTACTGAGCATCTCAAACGCTGAACCACTGCCTGGCGAGTGGAAGCAGCACACACTTCGAGTGCCAGGAGTAAGTCACAGGGGCCTCAGGTGGCCAGTACTCTCACCCTGTTCTGTGGGTGGGAGACAAACCTGTCCCAAGCTTGTAACGGCCTATGAGCAGCAGAGCCAGGAGCCACATGGCTTTCTTGCTGAATCGAATGTTCTTGCTCTGTGTTGAATTCACCAGGTCCCAGCCTTTCTCCCTCACTTCCCGGGGGCAAAGAGGAGCCGGCACTTAGGGCAGCACAGCGGAGTGATGAAGAGGGCAGGTCTGGCTCTGCCGCTGGGGGGCTGTGTGACTCTTATGGGTGGCTCAACCTCTCTGTGCCTATTTTGTTCATCTCGAAATGGGGAATCACAACACCACCAAGTGCAGGGAGTTGTCACAAGGACTAAGTGAGGTGCTTGAAGGAGGTGCTTCGCTCGCACGTGGCCCTGGGTAAGTGCTCAGGTGTTGCCTGCGCCCAGGCTGTCCCTCCAGGGCTGTGAGAACAGCAGGAACCGAGAAGGCTCCACTCTAGGCTTCGAGGAACTTACTGCTGAATGAGGGAGCACGGGAACCAGGGCTAATGGAAGGGCTATGAGAGCCACGCAACACAGCAAGGGACAGCCCCCCGCACCCCTGACCGCACCTGATGCTAATTCGTCTGTGTGCATCCCCCCAAGAGTGTCCCTCCTGAAGCCGCACATGGTGCCCCTCCCAGCACCCGGCCCAGAGTTCACACTTCACGACGACTGTAGTTTGTTACACTTCACCAGGAAGAAGGCCGGACAAGAGAGTGCTTCCATGGCAGGGCCGTGGATTGCAACATTTGGAGGCCCAGGATCACTGGGGGTGCCTGTTAAAAGTGTACCTGCCCAGGACCGCCCCAAACCCCTGCACCGAGCCTACAAGGGGTGGGGCCAGAGCTCTCTTAATTTAGCTGCACTGCCCTGCCTTCGGCTCAGAGAGGCGGGAGCTGGAGAACAGGCAAGGTAGAGAGAGGTCCCACGCTCCTGGACCGCGCAAAACCTCAATGGCCTTGGAGTTATTTGTCCACCGTTCCAGTAGGTGGCAGAGTCGGGGCGCAGGTGGCGGGCCCCGGGCCAGCTGACACAGAGGAGTCACGGCGCCGTCCTGGAGACTGCTAAGAAAGGTAGTTCGGGGAGCTATTCCCGGTCCCCCTCCAACAGGGCCCCCTCGTGTGGGAGGGGAGGGCGCTGCTCTTCCGCACTGGCACTTAGCATCACTTACAGCGGCCAAAAGGAAGTGCAATGTCCCAAGGCGATTAACTCATCGCATGTATTGAGCTCCTTCCTACCCAGCGATGCGCTCGGTTGCCAGCAGGTGCCGGTCAGAAGCCTTTAGGTCGGAGAAAAGCGTGGCTAAAGGCAGCTGTAGCTGTTTGTCCACTTCCTTTGGGTTCCCTCTGAGGTCCCCTCAGCCGTGGGAGGCTTTCCTGGCGACCACACAGCACCCCTTCTTTCGCATTCCTCTCCGGCCTGGCCGTCTGCACCCGGGAGCTCTGCGTGCCCGGCTTTCCCGGGGATTCCGCGCTCCCTCGGGCCCGCAGAAGTGGAAATGCAGCCAGCGCCGGGGGCTGCACTGTCGGCCTACGGACAGCAGGTGGCGCCCGGGACCCAGAGTCACGGAGACTTTTCCTAGAGAGAGAAAGTGTCGGGTGCACAGAGGAGCCGAGGCGGCAGGATCTGACGCGGGAGCCGGTGTGAAACGTGCAGTCGCTTCCCGGGACGCTCGGTCCCCTGACCCCGGCTCCAACGCCGGCAGGGGACGCAGGAGGGATCTGAGAACGTGCCGGCTGGAAAGGTGGGAGCGGCTCCGGGCAGAAATGGAGACAGGCATCCAGGCACCCGCGCAGAAGGGCGGAGCCCAGACTCGCGTCCTGCGGGGTCCCCGCGCCCCCGGCACACACACCGAGGTCCAGCCCTCGGGCCCGCGAACCTGGCTCTTCCAAGAGGGGCGTCTCTGTGAGCAGATACCTGCCCGAGGGACAGTGTCCTGGGCGCCCAGGCCCCCGCTGAGGCCTTTTCCACTGTGGAGTTGCTCACGCCGGCCTTCCCGGGTCTGCTCGCAGCGGCACGCCCTCGACTGTTACTCGGTTAATGTTTTTCTTAAAACCAACGCGCTTTAGTTAAAAATAAAGAAAAAGACAGAGAAGGCAGGAAGGAAAAGAAACCCCAAAATGGAGTCATCTGCTCCCAGGACAGAAAACCAGGACTTACTGCGACTTCAACCTCTCCCTTCAGCTTGAAATGTCCCGATGCGCACTAGTGAGGGGATCCGTCCCCTCCAGATGAATCGTGCGGGCCCGAGACAGTCCTGCCTTCTCTTTGGCTAATGCCCCTTTGCTCCACCCTCTGCCTGCAGCAAACCGCCCCCCCCCCCTTTGGACATCTCCCTGTGAGCACCACCCCCTTGCTGGGTGGGTGCAGCCCAACTCATGAATTGATTAATACGGTCAATTTGATCTTCCCATGTGCGACATTCGGTTTTGTTTTTCGCTTTTTCAAGTTAAAAATAACTGGAGGGAGGCTGCGTTTGTTTTTGTTTTCAAATAAGAAGCAGGACTGTAAAAAGAAATGTACAGCAATTACGATTTCTTAGAAGTCTGGCTATTTCCCCCAAGAAAATCGTCTGCCACCCTGTCAGCGGTGTATTTTCCACCCTTTTGGCAAAACTGGGGTCCCAGTACAATCACACACACACACACACGCACACACACACGCACACGAGTTCCGAAGGAGAGGAGACCCCAGGCAGTGATGGGAGAAAAAGGAGCCAAGGAGACAGCAGCTGTGCTTTCGCCCCAGCAGAGCTGGCTGACTCGCATTCCAAGTTCACGGACACACTCATCCTTCCCAAAGGGGCGAGCTCTTTCTTACCCTGGAAGCGGGAGGGGAAGGGCGGAGACCTGGCTCCCTGGAGCTCTTAGGAAAGCCCCGCAGCTGCTCAGGGCCAGGCGCTCCCCTGACCCCACCCCCTTGCAGGGAGGTCTTCTGGCCTCTGCCCCCAGCCTGCTGTGGAGGCAGCCCGCGTGGGTGGCACAGGGGCCAGGACAGCAGAGTGGGACCTGGGGATGGACACGGGAGAGGAAGTGGCCCCTCTTCAGAAGGGGCCTCCGGGAGCCTGTTGTTAAAGAGGTTTGCTCACTCAGTCTGTTTCCCGGCTGTGGACTAAAGAGGGAGGGCTCCATGGGCCTGGCCGTGTGGCAGGGTCAGCTCCAAGCTCTTCTCCAGGCCGTGCCCCCGGGCTGTGGGGGCAGAAGACACCTCCTGGCCACCCCGGTCTTCCAGAGTGTGCCCCAGTGTTGTAACAGGAAGCCCAGGGTGTCACCCCTCTTCCCAGAGAACCCCCAGGAGACTGTGGCCAAACAGCAGAAAGACCCTCTTGGCTGTGTCCTGGGATCCTGGGCCGTGGGGGGTCACTTATGCTCTCTTGCCTACAGATCTTGAGGTCAAGGAGACCCAGTGATTGGTCCTGGGAAGTCACCTGTCACTGGAACTCCAACGTCCTTTCTTTGAGTCTGCCTGCCTGAGCACACTGGCCCCAGAACAGGCACAAGTAGCAGTTTGTGGAATAGAAAGAAAAAAATAGTTTAATTTCTATGGAATTGGCCAATATGGAGATGGAGAGCTGATTATGCTCTAAAAAAACCTGACTCCCGATGGCGTGTGGGTTCGGGGTTATATCAGGCAAAATCACAAGACACCCGTGTGTTCAGGCCTCGGGATTTGGGGTTCGGGGTCATCCTGGGAGCTGACTGCTTGGAGGTCAGATAAGGATAAAGAATCTTTTCTTCAGAGCTTGTGGACCCTCTGAGGTCTTTGCTGGCATCTCCCTGTCGGGTCACATGGGAACATAGTGGGGAACATCGTTCCACCCTATGTAACTGAGATCAAAGTTTGGACCGTGTGACCGCGGCCCAGGCCCGGGCTCTGGTCTCCTGCTGCCTCGGGGGCTGCTGGGCATCGAGGAAAGCCTGCGTGTTAGAGGGGTGCGGAGACGATTTCTGGAGTAGGATTTAAAACTAAATGTAATCGAAGTCATAGGGCCCCTCAGTTTCACACCGAACTGGCCTGGTGCGTGTTTGGGTACAGGAGAGTTCAAGTGCACCCTTCCGGTCTGCGGGGAAGTCTTCAATACGCAAGCCTGCAGTGCCAGGCCCGCCTGCCTCCTTTCGTGGTGGCGAGGCCGTCAGTCGAGTTACTTAACCTCCCTCGGTTTCAGTTTCCCTGTGTGTGAAACGGGCGCGGTGCCTCCTTCACAGAGCGGCTGGTGGGGGCGAAATAAGGGCGTTTGTGCAGAGGCAGCGAGTCCACAGTGCCCAGAACAGCTGCCGCCGTGAGCGCCTGGCGCATCGCCCGGCTCCTTCTCCCGGGGGCTCAGCACATGCAGGGCACCTGGGACGCTGCACACAGAATGCAGGTTTGTGCGGGACACCTCCTGGGCCAGCACAGTTCCACCCGATGCCCTTCCTCACCTCCTGCCCGCCCCTCAGCCTCCAAGTGCCGGTGGTGGGACAGCCTCCCTCCTTTCCTGCAGAGCCATGATAGTCCTTTTCCTCTTCCACAAAGGGAAGCGGGGCCACTGTAGTCATCACTGCCCCGCTCGCCTGGGTCCTCAGAACACCGTGCCTACAGGCACTCAGGCCGAGTCTGCCGTCTGAACCCCCACGGGCTCAGACCCGAGGGCCCGTGAAGCTGACGGCTTCCGTTTGGCCGTTTTGTCACGGAAGCGTCTAACCAGCCAGGTGTCAGCCCGATTGCCATGCACAGCCGAGTGCCTGGAGTCTCACGCCAGCGCAGCGGCCTCCCCCGCGTGCCTGCACCCTGCAGCTCCCCACCCGCTGAGCTGAATGCCATGGGACCACAGACAGGAAATCGACGGCCAGGTCGCTGGGGCTCCTGCAGCTCTGTGATTCGGAGAGTGTACTGACCGAGGGACAGTGACCGCCTTCCCGTGACTTCCCAGCACGTGCGGAGTCGAGCTCCACGTCCCCCCCAGGCCCACAGGGCCCCCATGCTCCGGCCACCGCCCCCTCTCCTCCCGGCCAGCTCCTCTCCCTCACCTCCACCACCCAGCTCTCAGCCTGCCTTGCTTTTCTGAAAACACACTAACACTCTCTCTGCCTGGAAACTCTCCCCCAGGCCCCTCAGGTCCCTGTCACTCCCTCTGCTCTGGGACAAGTGTCTGGTGGATGAGTTTGGGCAAAGACACTGAGCAGGCGCTGCCCCCTTCTCTGGGGAGCGGGCGGTTTCCTCTGCTCAGCTGGCAGAAAGGGGGCCTCCCCACCCCACCCCCGACCACACCCCAGGAGGGAGGGGGAAGGAGAGGAGGCCTGAGGAGGTGCAGCTGCTGGCCCTGGCCAGTCTGTGACTAAAGAAAGCATTAACCAGCTACCGTCAACATCACCAGTTACAAATTTTAATATCTGTTCGGTTCCTATGTTGGTCTGTCAGTTGGTTCTGGGTTCAGATGTGTTCCCTTTTTCTATTCCTGCACAACAAACCACCCCAAACTCAGTAGCTTAAATTGGCAATTTACTATTTCTCATGAGTCTGTGGGTTGACCAGATGGTTCTTTTTGCTCCGCGGGTTGTCAGCCAAAATGCTGGGCTGGCTGCAGATTCCTGAACAGCTCCATTCCCAGGGCCGGTATTTGGTGCTGGCCGCTGGCTGGGAGCTTATCTGGGACTGTCCGCTTGGGGCGTGGGGCCCTTGGCTCTCCTCCACACATTTGTTTGGGCTTCCTCTTAGCTTGGGACGTGGGCTCCAGTTAGGACTGCTCCACGCACAGCTGTTCCGAGAGGAAGGACACAGAGGCTGACAGTCTTCTTAGGAGCTAATCTTGGATGCCCTGGATTTAGCACAAATTAAACGGTGTGCTCACTGCCTGAACTCCGGGGCGGCTTCTCATGGCCCTTGAGGTAAAACACAACATCTGTGACCAGCTCCCGTCCCTGGGCACATGGCAGCCACGGAAGGCTGCTGGCCGGCCTTCCTTCCCTTCCTGGGACCCTTCAGCTTCCGTCCAGCCTCAGAAGGAGCTGACCATCTGGTGACAACTGGGATGGACATGGGTCAGTCATATCCCACAAGCACAGGTAAAGCTGGCCCTTGTGCTGTGAGCAAGAGGGGCCACAGGGCCCCCAGAGCCAGTGACAAGGGGATTTAACTCATCAGAGAGGCCAGGGAACGACATCTGGAACACGTCACTCTTGAACAGGGACCTGGTGGAGCTTGCTGAGCCAAAACCCAGCAGGAGGGAGGAGCAGCCTGTGCAAACTCCAGAGGCAGTGGGAGCCGGCCTGGGGGGGGGAGGAGGGGAGAGCAAGCAGGAGTCTGGTCAAGCAAGGGCTGCAGCCCCAGCTAAGGAGCTGGATTCTATTCTGGGCATGAGGAGAAGCTCTCAGAGGGGCTCAGGGAAGAGACTGCCCGGTGAGATTTGCAGTTTGAGATGACTCTGGCTGCAGCATCGATGTGGTGACTACCCTCTCCCAACCCCATACCAGTCACATAGCACCTGAAATTGAGAGACAGGCCAGCAAGAATGCGGGGGGGGGGGGGGGGGGGGGGGGCACAACTGTCAAAGGGAGAGATGGTGGTGGCTCGGACTAGGGACAAGGGACATGAGACCTAACAGTTTGCAAATGTGTCGAGACTTGTGTGTGGCTGAAGCACACCTGTGTTGCTGCCGCTTCCTCTAAAGATGCCATTTAGAAAGGATTCAGCACGACTCGCCTGAGTCCTGCAGACCGCTGGCTGAGGGCATCCGGAGTCTGTCCCATTGGCTGGGTGGACCAAGTGACATTACGTGTGCAAGTCCGGCTGCTTCAACAGCACCTCAAGGCAAGGAGGGCCCAGGCGTCAGGGGCCTGGTCGTGAGCACCTGCCAGTGCTTCTTGCTTACTTTTGTGAAAGAGCAGAGAAGGAGGGCTGGCCGCCCAAAGAGGCTTATCATTAAGGCATCAATGTTCCTGGATTCAAGTGCCTATTTCTACTGCCTCACTCACCCGCTCTACGGAACGTTCCAGAACCTCTCTATACTTCTATTTCCTCATCTGTAACTCGGGAGTGATAATAACAGCCACCGCTGGAGTTTCGCAGGCCAGACCGACACCCTTTCTGCCCCACCTGCTTTCAGAACCGAGAAGGAAGACCGGGTGCCAGACGGGGAAGATCAAAACGCCGCGTTGAAGACTGAGGGAGCCAGACCGAGGATGCGGCTGAGGTGTGAGTGAATGCTCACGTTGTCACTGGCACGGTGACAAGCCACAGGCAGCAGGCAACACACCCTGCCCGGGGGCGGGGGTTTGACCCAGCCCTGAGCCTTCTCGGAAAGTCACCGGGGGAGGGGCCAGGTCACAGGTCTCCCTCCTGCCCTGGGGACTCAGGGACTCTGGAGCAGCTGGGTGACTTCCAGCAGCTCCCAGTGCTGGGGTCAGAGTAGGAAACCCTCTCCCCCCATGAAAATGGGAGAAGAGGAAGGACGTGGCTCTCTCAGCACCTTCTCACAGGCGGCCATGGGGAGCAGAGAACAACGGGTACAGGGTCTGGAGCACGGACCCTGCAGAGGTCTGGGGGCAGGACAGTGAGAAGCCCTCGGAATAGGGAATCCCAGAGAGACAGACAAACACCATGGCCTGCGATGTACAGCCAGGTGCAGCTGGTCCCCCAGTTAGTGGATGGCAGGGGGCGAAACAGGGAAAGCAAGGGCCTCGCCCCCCGGGCGACCTCTCCTCCCCTGAGATAACATCTAGGGTTCAGCTGTGTGGATGGTTCCAGGCCCAGAAAAGCAGCAAAGCCAGGTGAGCAACTCCAGGATGGATGGCAAAGAGGAAGGACCCTTACCCTACCACCAGCCGATCAGCGGGGACCAGGACCTGGCAGGGCATACCTGGAGCTCCCATGAGTGTTCCCCTGAAACCCTCCCCTAAGACCTGCCTGCAAGAGACAGAGGACAGCCTCCAGGCAAAGGACCTGCGGCAGCGGGTGCTGTCCTTCGGGAGCAGCCTGAGCCACCCCCCATGTCCCTTTCCCTTCTTCTCCCCCCACTCCTTTCCTCACAGGCATGCGTCCCCTCAACTCTAAGGCAGCGGGTGGCGTGACCCAGCCTGACCCCCCTGAACCCCTCTCTTCTCTGACTCTCCTGTCGCTCTTCCTATGCTCAGCCTTTTCTCGCCCACGCTCCGGAGGCCCAGCCTCTCCCTTGAGGATGTGCTAATAAAACCCTTACTCATCCGCTTCCAGCCCTCCGATCTGTAATTCTTGACTGTGTCGGGGGAGAAGAGCCACACTTCCAATAAGAGACTCATCCCTGGCATCAGCTGTCCTGGCCTGCAAGACCGGTCCACTGAGGGAAGTTGCGGTTGAGAAACCGCATGAAGCAAGGGAGTTTCTTAAAAGGGGATTTCTCTATTTCCCCTTCTTTCCTTGTTCCCTATACTCAGGAAATCTTGAGAGTTTCCTAAAGGGAAATGCTGACCAAATGTGAACTGACAAGTCTTCTAGCAGAAGGGGGAAAAAAACCCAAACCCCAAAGCCGAATCTCAATGAACACAGTGTCCAGGGCCCACTTTCCTTCTGGGTATGTGTAGACACTACTTTGTTTTAGGGTGGGGTTTTGGGGTGCTGTGTGTGCTTTTCAAGACAGCCTCTCCTCAGCGCTCATGATGAAGCAATAAAGAATCACCGCCAGGGAAGGCAGCGGCAGCAAACAGGAACCGTCCTGGCGAAAGCCCTGGCCCATCACGCAACCAGCAGCTACTCCCTTTAAGGTGAGTGCGACCGGAAGGCAGGCAAGAACCCCTGGAGTTGACTGCAGCCCCAGGTGCGAGCTCTCAAGGCCACACTCACCAGGAACCATCCCAGTGAGTCTCAGGTGGCCTACCTGGGACAGGGAGGCCACAGGTGGTGTGAACGCCCAGGGAAAAGCCCAGGGGAGCAGGAAGCTGCGGGGCCAAGGGCTCTCTTCCCTGTGCTGAGTCATCTCACAGTGGGGCAGGGGGGGGTGGAGGGAACACCACACCTGCCCGAATCTCTGAGGCTTATGGAAAACCCCAGTGCCCTGACCCCTGGGAGGTTTTAGCTGGGGTAATCCCTTACCCCTCCCCCTTGACATTTCCAAGAACTCCACTTTCCTGTCCTTTCTCTGTCTTCCAAGGGCAATCTTCACAGGTGGAGGGCCCAAAAGTTCAGCGTGGTTGCATAATCCGCACAAAGCTTTCCCATGGTAATGGAGCCTTAAGCATACTGCTAATTTAGCAATAATAATAGCTAATGTTTAGTAATCACTCACAGTGGCCAGGTATTGCTGTTACGTCAATCAGGCTTCAGCTAGAAACATAAAGATTTGCTCAAGGGCCACCCTGGCTGGTGTGGCTCAGTGGAATGAGCGCCGGCCTGCAAACCGAAGGCTGCTGGTTCAATTCCCAGTCAGGGCAGATACCTGGGTTTTGGGCCAGGTCCCCAGTTGGGGGGTCGCACAAGAAGCAACAGGTGTCTCTCACACACATCAATGTTTTTTTTCCCTACCTTGCCCTCTCTCTAAAAACAAATGATCTTTTAAAAAAAAGATCATTCAAAGATCTTATAGTTTGCCAACTGGAAACACAACTAGGCAATACCCAGAGGGTCCCAAAGAAGAGAGACAAGCCGAGGGTCCTGACAGTGAAAATGGAGCAAAATCCGTGTGGCGCTTTAGCTTCTGGGTTGGTCTGAGGTGGTGAGGACTCTCGGTCCAAATCACAAACACTCTTTTCCTGGACCTGCTGGGGTGATCGGAGGATCACCTGGGGGCTTGATGTGTATCCAGGCACTGACACAGGACGGGAAGGTTGAGACACGGACGTTTCGGAGCTAGTTAAAACAAGAATAGAACTGTCCCTCAACCTACCTGATGCTGGCAATATAAGTTAACGGATATCCTTAATTCCAGATAAGGAATGAAGACGCAGAGAAGTGAACCCCCTGGTCCCCAGCTCTCTATGGTATGTACCACATTCGGCCCAGAGAAAGGACATCGATCTTTTACCCTCCACCATGTTTCCATGGACTCCAAGGACGTTAAGTCTTGGACATAACATTGTCCAAGACTTAAGAGTCTTGGGCATAGACTCTTAAGAGATAACACGGTGCACCCTTCGTTTTACGGCTGGAAAAACAGACGTGCAGAGGGGTTAGGGTGTATTTGTCCAGGTCCCACGTTAAAATCATGGATGCATCCCTAATCCCAGTTTTTGAACCTCTTCTATAGCACATTCTCCTCCTTCCCTACCAGAAGACACAGTTTTCCCCAATTTTTCTTAATCATTTGTTTGTTTTTCAGTTCTCCATACTTATCATTCCCATTTTTTCCCTTCCTGTTACCATTTTTAGTGGGGGGAAAAAAAACAGGGGAAAGAGAAAAGGGAAAGGAAAGAATAAAGAGAGAAAGAGGGCCCTGATTGGTGTGGCTTGGGGGGGTTAAGCACTGGCCTGTGAAGTGAAAGGTGGCTGGTTCTAATCCCAGTCAGGGCACCAGGGTACGTCCCTGGGTCGTGGGCCACGCCCCCTGCTGTGGGCATGTGAAAGGCAATTCACCAATGTTTCTTTTGCGCAGATGTTTCTCCCTCTCCTTCGCTCTCCCCTCTCCCCGCGCACTCTCTCTCAAATAAATAAATAAATCTTTAAAGAAAGAAAGAGGGAGATGGGCAGGGGGAGAGAGAGAAAGGACCAAGAGGCTGGGCCGGAGGGCACCCTTGACGGCGATGTGTTAGATCTCAGGTCTCGGGTTCGAGAGAATTCCGAGCCAAGAAGTCTGGTGAAAGGAGTTTACTTAGAAAGTCACAGAGGTGAAAGAGCGAGCCCGCTGGGCTGCGTGCACTCAGGAAACAAGTTACAGTGGCCAAAGAAGGGCCCTTGCAGCTACGGAGAAAAGAAAGCAAAGGTTTCACACCTAAGAAAAGAAGGGGGCGGGGCTGTGGCCGTGTGACGGCGCCAGGGTGCTCCAGAGAGACACAGAGAAAACCATGTCCCTTGTCTTAAGGATTTTAAATCTATATTTTAAAGGTGGGGATTTTAGGGGAGACTCTCAATAGAATAGTCATCAGCTTTCCAGGTGTGTCCTTTCAGGGCCCTGGTCTCCGCTGATTGGTCGCCGTCGGAGGGGTCATTAGTCATCGAGGCTGGTCCTGGCATCAGCCATGGCGTCGTTTTGTCTGGTTTTGCAGCTTTTCTGCGCCTAGAGCTGAAACACAACCGCAGCCTAGATGTTATCTCTGGTCCCACCACAACTCTGTCTCTGTGGTCAGCAGACCGGAAGCCCTGCACCTAAGATTACGTGATGCTGATCGGAAGCTGCCGTCCCGAAGGCTGAAGGCGGAAAGGGAGGGGTCCTGCCAGGGCTCGTGTGGGGGTCGTAGGCGGCTGTTTCTCGCCCCCCCCCCCGTTCCTCCCTGGAGGGGGTCTAAGCCACATGAGTTGCAACGGGCTACGGGAGGAAAAGTCGCTCTGGGGGTGAGATCCTAGCCTCTAACACTTGTTTCCCAGCTTTGCCCATTGCTAGACACCAGGGACTTTCCGCCCTGGTGACATTCCGTTCCTGGCCTGTCACTCCTGCTCTGCTCCCGCTTGCCTGCCTCCGCTGTCAGAACCACCCTCCTATCAATGAACCAGAAGGCGGATCACGCAGCCCCAGGAGCCCCGGGGGCGAGCTCAAGCCGTGAGAAGGCCATCAAACCCCTCCCGAGGCGCTGGGCCGCCTCCCCTCCCGGCTCTGAGCCCCGGGTTCCCACCTGTGACACCAGAAATCACCAGCCACTGGGCCGCCCGGAAGCGCCGCGCCTCACCACGGAAAGCCGCCCACGCCCCTCTCCGGAGCCGACGCCTTGCCCTCAACAAACATGGCAACCGCGCGTGACGTCGCCTTCAGTCGCCTCCGCCCCGTCCCCACCCCTAGTGGGCGGCGGGCCCCAATGACGGCAGCGGGCGGGGCGCATGCGCGGCGGCGGGGCCCGGCCCGCGGCGGCGGCGGCGACGGCGACGAAGGGGCGGAGGGCTTCCCTGCCCGCAGTTGCCCAGCCGCGGCGGCCGAGGCGGGATGGTGTAGCGGGGCCTGCGGGCGGGCGGCGGGGCGGGGGCGAGGCGGACGCCTCCTGACGGGCTCGGGGCCAGCGGCCGCACGCTGAGGGGGCGTCGCCGCCGCGGGAGGCCGCGCCCGCCATGGCGGCCCGGCGGGTGCTGGACGAGTTCACGGCGCCCGCCGAGAAGGCGGCGCTGCTGGAGCAGAGCCGCGGCCGCATCGAGGACCTGTTCGGCGTGAGCCTGGCTGTGCTGGGCGCGCTCGGGGCCGAGGAGCCGCTGCCCGCGCGCATCTGGCTGCAGCTCCGCGGGGCGCAGGAGGCGGTGCACAGCGCCAAGGTGAGTCCCGCCGCCGCCGCCCCCTCCCCGCTCGGCCCGCGGCCTCCGCGCGGCCCGGGTCCTGGGTCGTTCCTGCCCCTCCCCGCGCGCGGTGGGGAAAGCGCAGCCCCCCGAGCCCGCGGACCTGCGTGCGCCGCTCTCGAGCCACGTGACCCTGGGCTAGCGGTTTAATCCCGGGGCGTCTCAGTTTCCCCGTTTGTAAGGGGCACTGGCGGAAGCACCTACCTTGCCGGACTGTCGGCCAGAGCATAGCACCGAGACCCACCCGAGCGAGCGCGCCACGAATGTCGCCTGTTGTTACCATCCCGCCTGGCGGTGGTGCGCAGGACTGGTAGCTGGGCCCAGGCCTCCGCTCTAGGGGTGCGGAGCCTTTAGGGGGCTCCAGCCCTTTTGGGAATCTGACTCCAGGACTGTTCAGAAGAGATGGGATGTTTAATAATAGTGTCGAAAAGAGCGTCGTTTCTCGTGTTGCTATTATGTGCAAGTCGAGTCTTTGTTCGTGGTTATGGCATATCTGACGTTGCGCTCCATACTCGGGAGTAGCTAATGCAGACTTCTGTGCGGTGGGGTAGATTTTGCTGTCCTCTCTTCTTTTTCTCTTTACATTCACAGCTGGGGAAACCGAAACTTTTGAGAAGGTGACTCACCTTCTCTCTAGATCAGCATTTTATTTTATACACCCCGGGGACCTTCAGCTACTCCCTCCTCCTCCTTCCCCAAACCAGAAAACAGCAAGAGCTTCCCCCCCCCCCCCCCCCCCCGCCCAGAGGCCCCCGGACCCCGGTACCCTAGTTTCTCCAGGTTTTCCCAGAGAGCAGGTGCAGCAGCCAGGTGTTTCCAGAGCTCTAGCTCCCAAACGACGAGCCCTGGGGAAGGGGGGGGACCTCCTTCAGTGGCCTGTTGCTTCAGGAATGTCGGGGTGCCCTGGGAGACTCCAGCCTTAACTGTTGGCTGGAGGCTTGTTTTCAGCGCATGCACAGGAGATAGGACACTGAATTGTGAGGCTGTTTCCCACAGCTCCGCCTAAAAACCATGCAGGTGTTGGGTCGGGTTTGCTCTCCTGTTCCTAATTTTTTAAACCGTTTGTCTGCTTTGGACAACTCCGATTCCTTCCCTGTCCTCAGGGGCGACAGGCTGGCCTGGTGGCCTCTGATTGCTCCTCAGAGCCGTCTCTGCTCTGCGTTAACTGCTCCCCTTCCCCACTACCTTCTTTGCTAGTGGGACCTGCATTCTGGGTGTGCGCCCACCTCCCTTCGCTCCTCTCCTTACGCGGTACCACTTGGTACCACTTGGTACCATTTGCAGTACTACTTTCATTAAACTAATCCTCGAAAAGTCACTCCCGCCCTGGGGCCTCTGGTTGCCTCTTTTCACTGGAAACTCCTCCCCTGGTTTACAGAAGGGGGCGTTGACCCGCCCCCACCTAGGTTCTCGATCCTCCGGGTAGCACAGCTGAGCATCTGGCTTCCTCTGTGTGCTCTGCCTGCTCCCGGTTCCCCCTCACTCGGGACTCACTCCACGCGTGGAAAGTGCTTTTTTTTTGCCCTACATAAACAAACACTGCCTGTCTCGCCAGACTCTCCCCCCCACCCCAGGGTCCCTGCCCCACGTTTATCATGAGCTAATTGGAAAAGGTGTGTCGGCAGTACCTCGGAGTGCGTGTCACCTGCCCGGCTATCTCTGGTGTGTTAATCACAGTCCAGCCCTCCCCACTTGTGACAAATTCCTGTTTTTCCCCTTGAGACTCGAGTAAGCCTTGAATACCACACTCAAGGGCTTTTTGTTAATTCATTTTGGAGCTTGTTTTACATTCTTTTGAGGAAGAGAACACCATTAACTTCACTCTTAAAATTCAGACCAACAAAGCAGACTTCGACATCTAAAATACACTGTGGAGGAGGTTTGGAGGAGGGAGTCAGAGAAAAGACTGTTGAACTCACTGGTTGGCTGAGCGATTCAAATGAGATGTGGGCCACTGTCCTGGGTCCCCTCAGCAGTTCACTCTGTTTTCTTGCTTTTCAACTGTGAGCTCGTTACCTCTTATCAAAGGCTGTAGGAGCGGGCGGAGCCACAGTTAGTGAGGCTGTGAGGATTGGAGAGGGCAGTGGGGCAGAAAGCAATGCTGTCCTGGGGAGTGACAGCGGCCCGGGCTCTCTGAGTGGCCACTGTGGTCAGAGGGCATTGTTGGAGGAAGCAGCACTTGAGCTGGGCTTGAGGGGCCTGGAACATTCCCAGGTGGAGGTGGTTTCCCAAGAAGCACCTCGGAGAGGCTGGATGGCGCCATCCGGGGCCCGAGGCCGGCTGCAGCCAGGGCTGTGTCCAGTAGGAAGTCAGCAAGGGTCCTGACGGGGAGGGTTTGTCTGGAAGTCCCAACCCGGGAAGGATGCTGTCCCAGGTTAGCGATCCCCAGGAATGAGGTGACAAGATTTCCCTGGGGTTTAGATGCAGGAATTGAGGGAGAGGTTTTAAGCAGTGGTACCAGGAAGGATGGTGGTGGGCACCTTGGTGGCCTGTAGCTTAGTGGGGCCAGGGAGCTGACATTGAGAGAAAATGTGCCAAGAAGTGCCCTGACTGCTGGCTCTTGACCTCA